CTTAAAGTTACATTAAACCCTCAGATTTTTTTAACATAAACCAATACTGTAATGTGTGCCTTACTGTAATCCATTGTAGTTTCCCTTCTCTTTGCTGCTCTTCCTTTTAAATCCTCATGTCTTCTCATGCTTGGGGAGAACTTCCCTTTGCAGCTGAGTGCCTCTTCCTGTAGTGCTGGCTCAGGTTGCAAACCTACACACAGACACCATGTATCCATTTCGGAGACAAGGCAGTCTGCTGCAAAGGGAAGTTCTCCCCCAGCATGAGAAGAGATACAGATTTAATAGGAAGAGCAGCAAAGAGAAGGGAAACAACCATGGATTACAGTAAGGCGCACATAACAGTATTGTTTTATGTTAAAAAATCTGAGGGTTTATTGTCACTTTAAGTCATCACGTCCAATAGACTGTGTATTGGGCCTGAGGACGCTGAGGGACATACCGTTGCTGAAATGAAGCTGGAGGGAGGACTGTGACAGCAGCCAGCTTAGAGGTATAACTTTTTATTTTATCACCTAGACAAAAACGAGCAGTTAATCATTGTAGTGCGGGGGTAGCTCCACTGCAAGGGTTAAAAGTTTTACCTGGAGTGCTTCTTAAAGTAAGATTGGAGTTTTTCTTTAATTTGTTGCAAGTGATGAGACTCGAACCACATACCTTTTGAACGGTGTGCAGAGTGCATGGACCGAGGCTCGGAAATTCAAACCACATGTACCTACCCCTCCTCCAACCAGTGCAGAACGAGATGCTGAAGGAGCATGTGGAAGTATAGAACAAAACTCCCACTACCTAGATGAACCTGAAGTGAGTACTCCCAGCTACATTACACTGTCCTTCTGTCCCTATAGTCCCTCTGTGTTTCAATGCCTTTGTTTTCTGTGCAGGATCTCTTGTTTCCTAATTTTAGTCCTTTCCTTGTTACTTTGTGCTAGTGCTTAGGAGCCACAGCAGCACCATTTCCGAGTGGAGTGGAGCTGGACTCTCTGGTGTTCCAAGTGAAAGATTTGCTTCCTGATCTGGGAGAGGGATTCATCTTAAAATGCCTCGAAGAATATGGTCACAATACTGAAATTGTTATCAACCACTTACTGGAGGACAACCTGCCACCACATCTACAGGGACTAGATCGCACCATGCCTAGGTATGTGGAACCAGGAAGCAGAGCTGTCAGTGTAAATGTAATGAGTCTTCTAAATAATGGTGATCACCACACATACTTAAATTAAAATTGTGTATGCACTGATGCTTGGTATATAACATATTTAAAGTGCACTTCTGGCTATACATGGATATAGTCAAGTACATACACAGTCATATGTATAAGTAAATACAAAGTCACGCATTTACATATTAGTAACTAGTAGTAAATGAACTTTAAAACAAGCCCATTACTGATCTCTCACTTGTTTCATTCTCAAACATTCACAACAGAAGTCCTTCTCTCAGCAGCACAGCTCCCCTCTCAGCAGTGACTTGGCAACCTTCTAAATTCTATTGTAAACACAGGGATGCTCTGGGATAGGGGTGCAAGGTGGAATGAGTAATTCAGAGAAAGACTTTAGTGCTTCATCTGTGAGATTTAAAGCTGAACTCCAGGCAGATCTAAATTACTCAAATAAATGCAGCTCTGTATTCATAAAAAGGGTATTCAACCCCTAACAATCAACTACTCTTATTTGCTCCCTTTTTGGCCTGTTAAATATACAATTTGAAGAATTTTGTTATATCTGATTGAAAAGTGAGAAAAAAAACAGTTTATCTTGTCAGAAATTCAGAGCTGTTCTGTATGCACTTTCCTGTGTTTATCATAAACAGACCTCCTAGTTCTCATCTTGGGACTAGAGGATGATTAGCCTTTAAGATGTGGAGATGGGAGAGTGGTTGGGTCTGAGTGTTTTAGCAAAAGACAGCTGGAATGCTGACAACACTCAGTCCAGAAAAATTGCTGTAAGTCCAATCGCGACTTGCTGTTGCTCGCGGTATACTAAGACGCCTCAGCTGAAGCGGATCCCGACAATTATGTCTGGATCCGCCCAGCTGCGTGAGTGACAGCTGGCTCTGCCTATCTAGAGGCAGAGCCAGCTGTACCCGCCCCCTCCCCGTCCGTTCCGCCAGTCAGCGCTAGCGGATCGGAGCGGGGGGAATCCAGCCCTTCCCCCTGTCACGGCAGAGAGCCGTGACAGGATCGAGAGGTGAGCGAACGCCGGTATGTGTTCGCTCACCTCCCGATCTACTGAGCCGACCTGTGACAGTCTCATTGTCGCAGGTCGGCTAGAACTATGAGGTGAGTGAAAAGCACTCACCTCATAGTTCTCCTTTTAACAAGGACTGATAGAAGAAAGTAAACTCATCAGTCTGCTGCTTCTCCTTTCACTGTTCAATTACAAACTGGGGGAGGAACAAGACCTGTAAGTGTTTAATTGCAGCAGAGAACTGAAATGTCTCCTACCCTGCCAGACAAGGCTGCGCTGTAGGGCAGAGCTTTGTAAATCTCAGAATTGGATGGACAGAAATCAAATTCCTTGGCACATAAGGCAACTTGCATCTGTTTTTCATCTGTTTACTTGGCTCTTGGCCTGGCGTTCATCTTTAAGGATGAATTTCTTCACATTGCCAGTAGCTACAGAGGTCAGTGAGTGTTTTAAAGCATGGATGCTGATTTTTAAGAGTAATGTCACTGGAACAGGTGACCGACATCAGATTTTGGATTTCCCTTCACTTTCATTCCGAGTGACAGTGGTCATCAGGACAGATCGCAAAGCTGTTTCCCAGATAATAAAGAGAGAGGCATTTTAATAATTCCCCACTCTGCCCTTAACAAAAAAAGAAAACATGTTTTGGCTAGGATACACTTTCTATATTAAATATTAAGCTAGTGTGCTAGAGTATTAGTGGTGGGTCTGTGTGTTTTAGTATAGGAATCCAGAAGTGAAAACGGGTAGATACACATTGCTTCTCCTAGGGAGATTGGTGATTTGTTGGTTTATTGTTTGTATTTTACACTGCTGTTGTTGTGACATTGTTCTTCATGCTTTACAGGCAGCAGAAAGTGGATCCGTGTCCTCTTCTCTCTTCAAGGTCAAATGTTTTTGCGGATGATGAGTTTGATGTCTTCAGCAGAGACCATGTGGACACATCAAGGATTTGGAAAGGGAGGAAGTAAGAATCAATTAGATTAATGGTGTCTAGATCTTATACTAGGGACCCGTAGTATAATGCTCTTTTAGTTCTGCCATGTAAAACACTACATTTCCGTGGTCTGTATTCCTGTTAGGGACATTTTATTTCAGAAGCTTAAACAAATTTTACTAGACACATGCACTGCAGAGTTGTTGAAATGAATTGTATAATCAATTTAAAGTACGTAGTCAGCTTAACACTCCTGCTATGTAGCAAAGATTAATAATCATCTTTCAACTAATTGTAATGCTAAATTCCCCACAAATTAGGGATCCTGGTGTAACAGTCCAGCTACATTAAATTAACCCAGTTTTTATATGTAAACATATTTTATGGATTTCACATGATATGTAGGATAGGATTTAAGTATATAATAAAGCATAGTTTTATTCCTCTGCTTTTCTTATGATTTTATTCTTTGATTTTGTATCAGATTATTATTGTAGGTATAGTACACAGCTGTTTAAGTATCGGGAAGGTAAACTTGAAGATCGTATTGAATAGCACTCTCCTGTTTTACAGAGAGGTTTTGGCAGATAAAAACATAATACAAACAACAAGTCATTTCAGTCTGCCCCCGTAGGGTGCAGACGGTACTTTGTAAAATAGAACAAGACATAACATATCGTATTGTGATATCATTAAAGGTATCAATGGTCATCATTACCACTTTAAACAAAAGCATTTAAACGAGATGCAAATCTGAGGTACAACATTGTTTCTTTTCCAAACAGACTAGGTATTAAGTAAGCGTTGCAATCACCTGTTGGCACCGTTGGTTCCCCTGAACCCGTTGGGTTCTTGCTGTGTATATATGAGATCTTAGGGAATGATAGCGGACAAGAGAAATAGAAATATAGGCAATATAGGAAGCTAGGGCAGGCACATAATGCAGTAAAACAATAATAGTTATAATAAAGTAAAGTAAGAGTATACTTGGATGGTTGGGAAGTACCTAAGCTGGACATTTAGGGAAAACAATTTTTTAAGCATAATGTTTGTACTGTTTTTGTTTTTTGGGGTTTTGTTTTGCTTAATACGTGCTAAGCCTTAAACATTTTTCCTTTTTCTAGGAAACCGGAAACTGCAGCACAACTGCTGGCAGATAAAAGTGAAATATCTGCACAGAAAGAGCGCTATGCTCAGTATAATATGGTCTCTGAAGTACACATCGTGGATGAAGATTATGATGATGAGTATGATGATACATATGATGGGAACCAGGTTGGAGCAAATGATGCAGATTCTGATGATGAGCTGATCAGTCGCAGGTAAGCATAGGTTTGGCTGTTCATTTCTCTTCAGCAGCACTCTCACTTGTATTCTGCATTTCTGATGTTCCTGGCCATCAGTCATAATTATTATATAGTTATTTGCAACCAGTTCCCTGGTATTGCTACACTATTTTTATATTTTTCAACAGATAAAGCTGATGCTTGAGTACTTATTTTTTATCAGCTTTTTTGGGAAAAATGTTTGGTTTGTTTTGGTTTTCAACAGCTCTGAATGCCGAACAACTAGCCGTTGCACAAAATATGACTTGATTTAGCACTCCATAGGCTACTGATTATAAAGCTCTAACTACTCTTTCCCCACATCCTTCTGTTATCTCCTGAAATAGTGTATTCATTATGTATTGTGTGTCGTTTACTTCCCTTTATTCCAGACCCTTCACCACTCCTCAAGTGCTAAGATCACGAGACAGAGATGTACAGGAGGAAATAGATGAGGACGAGGCTGAAGAGGAAACTGGTCCAAAGGTATCTATAAAGAAAAAGGAGGAGGTTGCATTTAAAAGTAATATACATGCACACATTGTATGTGCTTGTAAAGATATGTGTAGACATGTAATGTGTTTGCCTTTTGTAAATGATGATTTGCATGTCTCTGTTAATTACACAGGCTTATTCTGCACTTTGTTTTTGCATACCTACTGTAGCTGACCAGCCACTTCTTTTCTCTTAACAGCCCGATCACTTTATTCAGGACCCAGCAGTGCTGAGGGAACGGGCAGAAGCCAGAAGAGCAAATTACTACGCAAGGAAAGGGTAAGCATTTTAAAGGAGTCTCTTTGGAAGCACAGCGGAGTCCTCTTAAAACAGAAGGTATCTGCATGGCCCTGGACCCATTGTGCATCCAGACTGGCTGTTTTTTAACAGATAGGTCTAATATTGGAGACATTGTTGCTGTGTATGGAAACAATGGCTTCCTTGGAGTAGTGCTCTTAGAATTGTACTCTTTTATAGTGTTTTTCACCTCACTATGATCTTGAACTCTAGAAATCTCTACTATAATCTGATATGCTGACAAAATTCTGGTGTTCTCGTACATTTATCTATCATCCATTGACGGATTTTGAGAGATAGGGTTATGCTGCTGCCAGCTGCATAACCCTACATGTCGGAATTCTTCAGAGCGGTGTCCCTCAATGGACTCCCAAGAAAAGGATTTTTCAGTAAGAACAAAATCCTATTTTTGGACTGTTCAGACTGCAGAAAAAGGAAAAAATGTGGCTTTCAGACTGCACAATCAACTTATCTGACTGCACGTGGACAGCAGCTTTTATAACTGCTAAACAACATACATGGCTTACTACCTATAAGCAATAATATATCGATTATACTTTAGGGAAGAGCTTTATCCAAAAACATGATAGACATTTTCACATTCCTCTTTATACTCAAAAGTAATTTCAGATTGTTTTCCACTTTTAGCCAAACATTTTCTAAATTGCACGTAGCTTTCGTTTCTACCTTTTTTTAGGGCTTGATCACACCTAGTGCTTCTGCACACTTGCATGTTCATCTGTATTAACTTTATTACCTGTTTGTAACTAGTAGTGTATGACGGGGAGATACACAGTCCTTATCCACTTGAGTTGCAGCCTGTAATCACCCCTTTGTTACTAGGCCACAATGCTGTGTTTGACTAACAATTACTCAGTCATGCAAAACTTTAACTAAATTCATTTTATATAATTTTTTTTTGATAAAGCTTTCTTTTGGTGCTTTTAACCACTGTTTTTTTTTATTTTGTTCCGGAAGGTTAACATTTAAAAAAAAAAACTGTTTCCTTTTACTTTCTGCTATAAAAGATATCAATAAAATTCCAGGACAGCATGAAAACCCCTAAAATGAGTAGACAAGTAGATGAATTCATGAATGAATTCATTTTTTGGCACTATTTTTTGGAAATCAAGAAACATGCTGGAATAGACATGGTTAAAACATGGAGCTTGGTAATGATGCTCCAAATACAGCTCTGAAAGTAGAAGTCTAGGTAAAATAATAGCCATTAGTGAAATAGTGCGGATTCTCAGGTGGCTGTGCAGGTTCTATTGTGGGCTATGCGGGGTCTATGATGGGCTGTGCAGGTTCTATGGTGAGCTATCCAGGGTCTATGATGGGCTGTGTGGACTCTCAGGTGGGCTATGCAGGTTCTATGCTGGGCTGTGCGGGATCTAAATTTGGCAAGCAGCACATTTTCTACTGCATTGATGGGAGGTAATATGCAATAGCTGCTATTTTTCCCTTGAACAAAGTACAATATGCATTTGTCTTTTCAGTTTCAGACATGATAACACAGCATCTGTTGCGGGGACAGCCCGCGGTCAGGGACAGAACCGCGAAACAATACAGGAGCGCAGGAAGAAAGAAGCAAACAAGGGAGCCAGAGCAAATCACAATCGACGATCAATGGCAGACCGCAAGAGGAATAAAGGAATGATACCATCTTAGCATTTCACCAGTGCTGGACTAGTATAGCAAATGTCATATTTTGTACACATCATTAAAAAAGAGATATTCAAACTTAAAGTAAACCAGTCTATACAATTTCACCTGCTTCTTGTGTCACCATATAACAAAGTAATTACATATAAAGCTCCCAACATCCAGAAAATGTGATATCTAAATGTGATGATCAAAAGTCCAAAGTGATGAATCTCGATATATCCTTCCAATCCTCCCTTGAGTATACACCCAGTGAGAAACCAATCCACTGGGTCGGCCAGGCCATTGCATGCTAAGAGCAAATGTATCACTAGCAGTGCCACCCGTATTATATTCTGGACCTGGTTGTGGGACATTGTACCTTTTTTATGTGAGATGCATTGTGCACGTTGAATGTAAGTTGTCTATTGAAAAGATAATTAAAAACAAACTTTGTCTTGCTATGGGCTTATCCGTGCCTACTTTTTTTGTAAATTCTGTACAGTGAAATCCTCTGACATTTGAGATGAATCCTGGAATGTCAAAGATTTGATTTGATTCTATCCCAGGACCATTGTGTTTATATATTGCTTGTTTCTGACCGTCTATAATAAAAGGTCTGGTGAGTTTTTTGTTTACCATCAGGTGGTGAATTAGTTTTGCACTGAGCTTATACACAAGAGAACATTGGAAAGATGTAAGAAGATTCATCACTTTTGATTAACACATTTAAATTTCAAATTTTCTGGATTTTGGGACTTTTTTATCACTACACTATTTTTTGTTATTACTTTTGTGATATATGATCTATTTTTACTCATATGTGGTATTAGGACAGGAAAGCACTGGACAAATCCCATCAACCAGGTAGCCAATGGTCCTTAAATATTATAGCTGGCATCTAACTTTTGAGGGATTTTTTTAGTTGTCAATGGGGCTGGCTCCTGGATTGGACAGATTGGCTTCTGAATTCCATAATCATTTGTTCACCCCGTATTAAGAAAACCCTCAAAGTGCTGTTTATTGTATGTATTAGTATTTGCTGATTCTGACTGCAGAGACCACACGCACACTCTCGCACCTTCCCCTGTGGATTTTGTATCTGGTTTTCCAGCAGCCTCTGAGCCATCAGTTCCTGAGACTGATTCTGAGTCTCTCCAGTCTTTACCTAGAGCTTGCCTCTAAGGGTTCTTAGTTCCCTGCCATTACTCCCAAATTGAAAGAGACCCATTCAGCTCTTATTGATGCTGTGCGTGCTACTCTGAAACTATCAGGATCAGCGTGTTGCTTCTACCAGTGCTGTTCCCAGTCTATAGTCCTTTAGGGCCCCTGAGACTGCAAAGACTTACCCAGTGTACCTGCTGTTCCAGGTCTACATCTACAAGATTGGAAACACCTGGACATGGTTTTCTCCCTCCAAACATGTATTAGCTTTGTAACCATTAGAAGGGACTTTGTAAAAAAAAAAAAGGTGTCCTCCCCATTGTGGATCGAGTAGTGTGCCGCCTTAAACCAACCACTGTACTAGTGGAGGATGAACCTGTCTTTAAGGACCCAACACATAAACCGTTGGAAGCATTCTCTAGAACTGTTTTTGCTGGCAGGCCCTCCATTTCACCCTATCTTGGCTGTGACCTTACTTTTCCAAACCTTGCCTTTTAAGGGTCAAAGTCCCTTAAAAGCAATATAGCCAGTGCTTCAGTTGATCCCTTAGTTATAGAAAGTTTGGAACAAATTGTTGTAGCTTTAAGCTACAGTTGTGATGGGCTGCTTCACTCCAACCTGTTAAACATTCTCAAACACAAAGGTGATATTGCCTCCATCTTGATTCTAAAAGCACTGAAATGTATTTATTTGGGCTCAGAAATTCTTTATGGAATCCATCAGGTTTGTCACTGCCTCCCTTCACCAGGGAGACTTGCTAGCTTCAATGGACATCGAGGATGCCTTCCTACATGTCCTCATCTTTCCAGCACATCAGCATTTCCTACACTTTGCTGTGGCCCCCTACACTACCAATTTTGTGCCCTGTCCTTCGACCTCTTGTCTGCACCTCCAGTGTTTACCAAGCTGCTGGGCTGCTAACCCTAGTATTAGCCCTTCTGTGCTCTCGCTACATCCCCATTGTTGGATAGTTAGCCTGTGCTGACTGTTACCTCAACAGGAGGTAGTCTGTCGGGCAATGTGGCTTTAATTGTGTAAACATGACAGGAGTTCAGATGGATCCTGAATCTTCTGACACTGTTGCTGGAACCAACTTCTTTGGAGTATTTATGTCTAGATCTGGATACAGTGCACGTCAGAATGTTTCTTCCACAGTGGAAACTTAAGACTCTCAATTCTCAGATTCGATTTCTCCAGTCCAGAAGTTGTCCAGCTCGCTTTTGCTTCAGAGTCTTAAGTCTAATGGTAACCTCCTTCAAAGCAGTCCTGTTTGCTGAGTTTCACTCTCTACCTCTACAAACCAACCACCTGTCATTGTGGGACAAGCCGGTCCAGTCCCTGGACAGAATAATTCGTTTGGCACCGACGACTAGGTTGTCCATAGAACTTGTGAAGTCCTTCCTTCCCATCTTTTGGAAAGATGCTCACAACAGATGCCAGCCATTCAGGCTGCAGAATAGGCCTTGGCACCTCATCATCCAATCCAGATGCAAACAAAGGCACGGCGGTGGCATACATGAGAAAAAGAAGGACATTAGTAGGAGTAATAAAACATTCCCTGGATAGCCACAGTTCGGGCTACTAGTTACTTTATAAAAAGTCAGTTTAGAGAAAGTCAAGTCTTTAAAGGGAATCTGTCATCAAGGTAAATACCTTTCAGATGGAGGCTGTCATTCTTTTACCCGCATGCTGATTCCAGGCAAATAACCTGTTCTGAAAGTGAGTTGACTGCTTCACATTCTGCTTGTAAATCAAACAATGGAAGCTTTCTGAAGACATATTTAGTTGTTGACAGAAAGAAAGTAGAAACCTAACAGTCCTCTGATTGTCAATAAACACTGTACTTAGTGTTTAGCTGCTGTATTAGGCCTGTGACAGATTCACTTTAAAATGCAGTCAAATGTGAGAAAACACCACTATATGTTTGTTATGTGTATCTATATTCATACAGCATACCAAGAAATATATATATTTTTTAAATACACTATATTTTCAAAGGTATTGGGACGCCTGCCTTTACATTCACATGAACTTTAATGGCATCCCAATCTTAGTCTGTAGGGTTCAATATTGAGTTGGCCCACCCTTTGCAGCTATAACAGCTTCAGCTCTTCTGGGAAGGCTGTCCACAAGGTTTAGGAGTGTGTCTATGGGAATGTTTGACCATTCTTCCAGAAGTGCATTTGTGAGGTCAGGTAGTGATGTTGGACGAGAAGGCCTGGCTCGCAGTCACCGCTGTAATTCATCCAAACAGTGTTCTATCGGGTTTAGGTCAGGACTCTGTGCAGGCCAGTCAAGTTCCTCCACCCCAAACGCGCTCATCCATGTCTTTATGGACCTTGATTTGTGCACTGGTGCGCACTCATGTTGGAACAGGAAGGGGCCATCCCCAAACTGTTCCCACAAAGTTGGGAGCATGAAATTTGTCCAAAATGTCTTGGTATGCTGATGCCTTAAGAGTTCCCTTCACTGGAACTAAGAGGCCAAGCCCAACCCCTGAAAAACAACCCCACACCATAATCCCCCCTCCATTAAACTTTACACTTGGCACAATGCAGTCAGGCAAGTACCATTCTCCTGGCAACCACCAAACCCAGACACGTCCATCGGACTGCCGGACAGAGAAGCATGATTAGTCACTCCAGAGAACACATCTCCACTTCTCTAGAGTCCACTGGCGGCGTGCTTTACACCACTGCATCCAACGCTTTGTATTGCACTTGGTGATGTAAGGCTTGGATGCAGCTACTTGGCCATGGAAACCCATTCCATGAAGCTCTCTATGCACTGTTGTTGTGCCAATCTGAAGGCCACAGGATTTTGGAGGTCCGTCGCTATTGACTCTGCAGACAGTTGGCGACTTCTGTGTGCTTCAGCATGCGCTGACCCCGTTCTGTCATTTTGCACTTCGTGGCTGAGCTGCTGTTGTTCCCAGTCGCTTCCACTTTGTTATAATATCACTAACAGTTGACGGTGGAATATTTAGTAGCAAGGAAATTTCACGGAAGACCTGAATCCAATGATTTGGAGGGGCTTCCCAATACTTTTGGCAATATAGTGTACATTTCTTACCTTTGTGGCCTTTGTGCAGATTCCAGGCTACTCTGAGCAGTTTGAAGTGAAAGCAGGGGGTCAAACTGAGGGACAGACTGAGCTTCTTCTTCTTAACATATAATGCTTCTAAGTCTTTAACCCTTTGTTTGGACAGATAGTGTTGGAATCTAGTTTATAACTGATAATGAAATCTGCCAGCACAGTACAGACAGGGAAACAACTTCCCACAGCCCCCTCCTTAACATTGCATAGAAGGTAAGTAAAAATTATAAATATAAGCAACATATTTTAAATATTTTTTTTCCAAGGTATGCAATGTGAATGGGAACATATAACAAATATAAAGTAGGTGTTATTCCAATTTGGCTGAAAAAGTGGAAAGGACTTGAAATCTCCCCACAGGAAAAGACTAATAATATATGAGTTATGTGACTATCCCCATTTTTACACAGAAAGCCTTTCACAAAGTTCTGCATGTCGTGCAGAAACAATTCCCACGGGGACACTACCGTTCTGAGCACCGCGCACACAAATTATGTATTTTCCACAGTGTAATTCAGTTATCAGTAAACATTCCCAAAATTGCTGAGTCTGCAGAGCTCTACACCTTAACGCGACTGCTGCTTGACTAGTAATGATGTACACATCAGTTCAATCCAATAAAGAGGTTTTTTTGATGCAAAGATTGCCCTTGTTCCAAAATATTTAAAAGGCTGGCATTAAAGGAAATGTGCAATAGCACCTGTCTAACACAATAGGTGATGTCCAATCTTTGAAACAATGGCAATGAAGCTATTAGATTGTTCACTGGAGTAGTAGTTCATGGCACATTGCAGGCAATTTCTCACACCACAGATGCC